GTTGAATAGCAAAATGGATTGAAGAGTATATCAGTGAACCAGAATATCATGCTAAGTAATTCTCCCAGAATGCAGTGCAAAACAATAAATAGATGGGTAGAATGAACAAAATGTTATGAGATATGAATGACAGACATAAAAGTTCCACTCTCTACTTAATGTGAATTAGAGGAGAGAAGAAAATTAAGGAAGGAGAGTACCTAAAACAAGGCAAAAATTTAAGACAATTTCTTAGAAATTGGAAATACTCATATTGAGAGGAACCAGTGAATATTTACAGGAAGAATGTAAAAAGACTGACATGTAAGTAAATCATGATGAAATTTCAGGACACTAAGGATAAGGAGGAAACTGAATGTTTTCAGAGTGAAAAAAATTATGCAGGATGGAATAAGAGTAAGATTGATATCAGACATTTGCAACATAGTAAGTAAGAAAACAGAATAACATCTTTAAAGTTTTCTGGTGAAAATACTTGTGAAGTTAGGATTCTTGTTAAAGTGAACTAAAATATGGCCTGAGAAGGACTCCATACTTGTGGACTAACCATAACCTAACTTAATAGACGAGATTGAAAACCTAGCTTAGGAGTATGCATCTGTAACAGTAGCTGAGTCTTGGCCAATCCCAGCAGCCATACTCCAATCACTCATACACTGCTGAGTGTTCAAACTGTGTTCAAATAAGTCAAATGCCAACTTGTAACCAATCCAGCTGTTTCTTTACCTCACTTCCAATTTCTGTGTGTCAGTTTCCTTTTTTTGTCTATAAATTTGTTCTGATCATGAGGCATCCCTGAAGTATCTCTGAATCTACTGTGGTTCTGGAGGCTGCCTGACTTGTGAATTGTTTTTTCTTCTTGCTCAATTAAACTCCCATTAAGTTTAATTTGAAGTGTTCTTTTAACATTCTTTAACCAGCCAAACTGCAAGTGAATGTGAGGACATCATAAAGACATTTTAAGACACACAAACAGATTCAAAAAGTGTATAATTCACTGTCCACATAGAGTAACCTTTCTCAACAGGGTACCATTGGCATTTGGGGTGGAACAATTCATTGTGTAAGACTGATCCACACATTGCAGGTTGCTTAATGTCCTTGACCATCATCCATTAAATGCCAGAAGCATTTCTCCTCTCCGTGACAATATACAACAGCCCCACATTTGGAGGGGGTGCTGTATCACCTCTGGTTGTGAAACCACTGTCTAGAAAATATATTCAAAGAGAAAATAAATCTAGGAAGAAAAAAAGGGATATAAGAAGCACAGGGGAGCAAGATAATCAGTAAAGTTTACTTTTAAGTCTAAATAAATTATAACAATAAACCTATAATAATAAATTAAAATCTGAGATAACTCAGGATGGAGAGTTATGAAGTCTGCAAAGGAGGTAGGATAGAGAAGTAAAAGCATGCTAGGAGCCTCATTTTATTTATACAGTTAGCTCTGGATGTCAATTAACAATATGCGTAACTATGTGTATAAAAATATAAAGATACAGGAACTAAACATATACTTTTCAAGTCATTAGAAGAAAAATTAGTTGGGAAGAAGTAAAATGCCAGTAGCTAACCGAAGATCAGGGATGAAAAAGAAACACAAGAACAGCATATAAAATAGAAAGCACAAGGTAAATTGGTAGAAAATGTGCAAATATATCAGTAACCACAATAAATATGACTATGTCAAATTCACTGCTAAAAGACAGAGACTTTTGAATTGAGTTTTAAAAGAGTCAAACCATGTGTTGTTGTATACGACACAGTAAAACAGAGTAATACAGAAAGATTGAAAATAAAGAGATGGAAAAGGTAACTGGGAAAATGCCAGGAAAAGGAAAGCAAGTGGTACAAGCAATCTTACCATTTGACAAAATGGATTTTAAGGCAAAAATAATCATTGTTACTCAAAAAGACAAAAAGTAATATTTCATAGTGATAAAATACTCAATCTACTAATCAGTTTAACTTTATGCTTATGTGTGCCTAGTAACATAGGATTGAAATGTGTAATACAAAAACTGAGAATTATAAGGAGAAAACAAATCCGTGGCTTCGTCGGAAACTTTGCCTTTAGAAATCTACCAAACAAGGAGTCAAAAATCAAGTAAGAAACATAAAGATCTAGTACCACAATCAAGGTTTCATTATTACTATATATTTATTTATTACTATTTTATTTCTTTTATTTACTATTTTATTTTATTTATTACTATTGTTCTATCACCCAGGCTGGAGTGCAGTGGTGCCATCTCAGCTCACTGCAGTCTCAACTTCCCAGGCTCCAGCGATCCTCCCATCACAGCCTCCCAAGTAGCTGGGACCACAAGTGTACACCACCATGCCTGGCTAATTTTTGTATTTTTTGGTAGAAATGGGGTTTTACCATGTTGCCCGGGCTGGTCTCAAACTCCTGAACTCAAGTGATTTACCCACCTCGGCCTCCCAAAGTGCTGAAATCACAAACATGAGCCACTGCAGCCAGCACACCAAGTTTAATCAAATCAATTTATATAGAGATAAATGTTTGCCCTTTTCAATCACACGCTAGTTTTACAAAAATTGTCCTGACTTGAAATAATAGCTTTTTTTCCTTTTAGCCTTTTCTTTCCCCTTTTCTCTCCAATTATACAACCTGCTTCTCCTCTTCCCAGGTAACGCTGCTAGCAGAGTGACTGTATCCATCTATATCTTTCTTCATGCTCATAAAATCATATCTAAATATATACATATATATGTAAATTTCTCTTCCTATAGCTTACAAAAATAGAACCATAGTTTATAAATTTCTCTGCATCTTTCAGAAATGGAAGATGGAAGTGCTCTCAAGTCAGTAGACAGAGGTTTAAGTTATTCTTGTTAAATGGCTGCATTATGTCATGATATAAATGTATTGCAATTTACTCAATAATTCTTCTATCTATGGGCATTCACGTTGTTTTCAGGTTTTTTCCCCCAATTGCAATCATGATCACTGTTGTTGGGAACATCCATATACACATATATTCTGGTGTTTTTATTTCTATGGGATGAATTCCCATGCGTGGGATTGCCGGGTGAAATAATGTGTGGAGTTGTTTTCTTTTGATATATGTTGCCAGATTGCTCTCCAACAAGGTCACAGCTGCTGGCGATGTGGTGAAGAGCGTCCCTTTCCAGCCTGTAGTAGGTGTTATCATGTTCCCAATTTGCTAGTCTGATGTGAGTAAAGTGATAACTGATTGTTGTATAATTTACATTTCCTTAACTCTTAGGGAGACTGAACATCTTTTTACATTTATTTGACATTTGGACTTGTTCTTTCGGGAATTGCCTAAGACAGTTTTTGATCATTTTTATTCTGATACCATTTTTATTCTGATATGCACATAGGTATTAACCCTTTATCTGCCATCTGATTTGCAGATAGATGGAAAGATCTCATCAAGTACTAGGTTGATATAATGTCATGTTTTCTTCTAAAATTATAATGATTTCATTTTTAAGTCTTTAATTCATCTGGATGCATTAGAGTAAATAAAATGTTATGTAAATTAACTTTGTATATTTATTTTTACTTCTTAATGTGTCTACTAGAAAAATTTTAGGCCAGGCATGGTGCCTCACGCCTGTAATCTCAGCACTTTGGGAGGCTGAGGTGGGAGGATTGCTTGAGCCCAGGAGTTGGAGACAAGCCTGGACAACATAGTGAGACCCCATCTTAAAAAAAAATTTTTTTTAATTAACCAGGCATGGTGATGTATGCCTGTGGTCCCAGCTACATGGGAGGCTGAGGCAGGAGGATCACTTGATACTGGAAGGTTGAGGCTACAGTGAGCCATGTTAGAGACACAGCACTCCAACTTGGGTGACAGAATAAGAGCCTGTCTAAAAAAAAAAAGACATTTTAATTACATGCATAGTTTACATTATATTTCTATTGGACAGCTCTATTTCAGATTATCAGTTGTGCCAGAGCTATTTCTTAAACATTTTTGCTCTCTTTCACTTATCTTTTATCTGCCTCGTGAGAGGTATATCTATTTTATTTTTCATACTAGACATCTGTCTTATTCATCACTTCCCATCATCTTTTAATAGCCCTTTTCTCTTGGGGGAAATTCACAATCATGAGTTTCACCTCTCCAGGGTAGGAGTTAGACCTCAAATTCCCAGTCTCTCTCACAGTTAAGATGTGCATATTTGACGTTTGTGGAAAGAATTGGAAGTCAGTTACATGAGGGATCAGGTTCTGCATGGAGTGTTTATTTCCATAGGCCCAGGTGGCACACGCAACCAGCTTTGATGGTGGCAGTTCCAGAACAGGTTGCAAGGTCAAGGCCCTGCCTTTGGTGGATGGTGATAGCAGTGGCAGTTTCTTTATCAGGCCAGCATTGGGTATGCTTTAGGCAATACTTAACCTTGAATGTGACTTTTCAGCCCTCCCAATAATACTGGGGGCTACTTAGCCAGGCATGGTAGTTCACTCCTATAATCCCAGCATTTTGGGAGGCTGAGGTGGGTGGATCACTTGAGGTCAGGAGTTTGAGACCAGCCTGACCAACATGGTGAACCCCACAAAAATTAGCCAGGCATGGTAATGTGTGCCTGTAGTCCCAGCTACTCGGGTGGCTGAAGCAGGAGAACTGCTTGAACCTGGGAGGCAGAGGCTTGCAGTGAGCTGAAATCACGCCACTGTACTATAGCCTGGGCAATAGAGATAAACTCCTTCTCAAAAATAACAACAATAATAATAATAATAATAATAATAATAATACTGTGAGCTACTCAATATCTTTTTAATAAACTTGCTTTCTGCTTAATCATCCAAATCAGCTTCTGTTGCTTGCAATACAGAATCCTGACTGATACACTGGGATTTTTTTCCTTTAAAGACATAAATTTTGGATTTGTTTTTTCCTGCTATTTCCCCCTACTATTTCTAAAATATTATCTTTCATCTTAATGCGTTTCCCCTTCCCCTAGCTTATTTTCTTGTCCTTTTTCTATTTCTCAAGAATATTGTTTTAGCCTGGATTCTCCAGAAAACAGAGCCTTTGGCAAGTTTGTATGCTAACACCTCGCTGGGGAGTGCAACCTTGGAGAAACCAGATTGAGAGAAAAATGAGGCAAGAAGAAGAAGTGCAAAGATAAGAGGCATTACTGAGAGGACCCAAGTTTTGTAATTAATGAAGCTAACTGCTTGGACTCACAGTACATCCTCAGATCTTCAGAGAAGTTGTACGAACTACCCTGTCTTGGAACATCCTCAGGAGGAGAAAGTGAGTAGAATTTAACCATGGTTCCTTCCTGGTCTCTTGTCTCATCCCCTGTGGCTCAAAGTCTCCCCCACAGGGCATTAACCCTCCAGCCCATTCAGGCTGTATTACCTGGTCTCTCCAGACAGCAGCTGGGGAAGCCAGAGCTTTCAAGACCAATCTAGCTAGTGCAGGTAGTAGCTTGTCTCTCCTTTTCTGACAGTGCCACTGTGGGGATCCTCCATCTATAGTGTAGTCCATGGCAGAGGCATTGACCTGGCTCCATGACCAGGTACTAGCTTGCTGTCCCCTGTAGATCTCTTCTATCTAGGATTGAAGGCAAGGGGTTTAGGCCTGAGGTTGGTGAGTATGGGGCTTAGGGAGAAGATACCACAGAGAGATCTACGGCAGTGCACACCAAATCTGGTACATTCCACTTTGCACCATTCAGACCTACTTTCACCCTCTTACAGTATCTTGAGCACATACAAGAACGATGCCTTCATTTCGTCCCCTAGGGGAGAGATGCAAGTCAGTCCTCCAAGGTGGTGACTCGTTGCAGTTCCTGGCAATTTTAGAGGGCTGGCAAACCAAGTACAGTTTTTGCTGCTGTAACCTCTTCCAGGATAGTAATTCCAATTCATTGTCTTCCTCCTCTGCTACCCGTTCTGGATTTCTATCCCTCTTGGCTATCATTCAACTGAAATGGGTTGCTTCCTGGTGAAGTGACTCAGATTTTCCTCCTCAAGGGATCTGAGGGATCTGAACCCTTGCTGTTGTCTAACTGTAGTTGCTGCAAGGGATTTAGGACTGTCCTTTGCATGGAAGTCCTAAGAGATGCCCAGGGATTCCCTGGATTCTCATTGTGTAGCAGCTACCCTAGCTCTTCATGTTGTAGGGTAGATTATCCCAGGGTGGATTATCTCAGCAGGTAAAACCATCCTTTCTTTATCTGCTAGTCAACTGGCATGAATGGCCAAAATGGCCCCAAATGGCCAGCTGGTTTGAGAGAGGTGAATCTTACTTCCAATCCTGTGCTCCTGGGGATATCACACCATATATTGGCCATTAATTCAGTGTATGTACCATATTCTGGAGGAAAGCACCTCATCCTCAAAAGATGTTGTCTCCAAGCTGGTACCCTAAACCTTGGAGAGGCCATTTCTGTCAGTCTGATTGCTTTTGGGTGATGATGTATAGCCTTGCTACTTAAAGTTTGTGTGTGTGTGTGTGTGTGTGTGTGTGTGTGTAGGGGACCGGTAGCAGCAGAAGAAACTGGGAGCATTTTAGAAGTGCAAATTCTTGGCCAGGTGTGGTGGCTTATACCTGTAATCCCAGCACTTTGGAGGCCAACGCAGGAAGATTGCTCAAGCTCAGACTTCAAGACCAGCCTGCACAACATAGTGAGGTCCTGCCTTTACAAAAACAAAAAAATTAGCCAGGCTCAGTGGTGTGCACCGGCAGTGAGCCAAGCCATTATTGCAACACTGCACTCTATCCTGGGTGACAAAGCAAGACCCTGTCTTAAAAAAAATGGCAAATTCTCAGGTTCCCCTCCAGATCTACTGGAGCAGAATCTGCATTTTGACAAGATTCCTAGGTGATCTGTATGCACATTAAAGTTTGATACCTGGTTTATATGGTAAGATGTATGTGATGTTCACTGAAGCAGGGCAATGGTTGATGTCAGAGGAGGAAGTGTGGGGTATAGGGTTGCTATGGATCTGTAGCAATACATAAACTGAGTCATATACAAGTATTAAGTTCATTTATTGACAGAGTCACTTAAGCCTATACAACTTCCATTGTCTGCAGCTTTTTCTGTCTTCCATTAGCTTTTGAATGACGAGGTCTCCTTTCCATTGTTTTCCAGATAATTTGTAATTTTATTTTTTATTTCCTTTGATCCAAGGGTTACCTAACACTGTATTTCTTACACTTAATTTCCAAATCATTAGCATATTTTGGTAATATTTTAAATTATTTGCTTCTTTTTTATTGGATGATGAATGGAAAAGATAGCCTATAAAATATCTAATTTACTTAATTTTTCAAGATTTTCCTTATGACCCAATAGAAGATAAATTTTGGTAAATACTCCATGTATATATAAAAATCTATATTCTGTAGTTGAAGAAATACTTATTTGAGTTTGCTGATTCTATTTTTAATCCTTCTATGCATCTTTTCCTACTAGACCTACTGATTTTGAAACAGACATGTTGAAGTCTCCCATCGAAATTGTATTTTTCGAGGCTCTCTTTATACTTCTAATACTTTTTCTTTCTATATTTATTTGCTATGTCGTTTGGTGCATAAAGTTTTGTGCTCATTAAGTCCTCTTCATAAATTTTGTAGTAATAATATCCCTCTTTATCCAGTTTGGAATTTTATTCTTAAAATCCAACCCATGTGATGTGGATATTGCTACTCAAATTCTTTGTTTGTTTCCAGATCAAAACTAATTTTTGGATCCTGAACACACTGACTGAGCAAGAATATCAGTTGTGGCCTTGAGACCAGCTGCATTGGCAGGGTTGGTAGTGTCTCCCTCTAACCTCCCTTTTAAGTTTCTCCCAGGAAAGATGACCATGGGAATCCTGGAGTTGTAGCTCCTGGAACCTAAATGAAAAAGTGCTCTGTGTGGCAAAGGGGCAGACTGTAGCGGACACTTGGTGTACCGCCCAGATTCCCCCTCAAGAGTGAAGGACTGGCCGGGCGCGGTGGCTCAAACCTGTAATCCCAGCACTTTGGGAGGCCAAGACGGGCGGACCACGAGGTCAGGAGATCAAGACCATCCTGGCTAACACGGTGAAACCCCGTCTCTCCTAAAAAAATACAAAAAAACTAGCCCTAGAGGCGAGGTGGCGGGCGCCTGTAGTCCCAGCTACTTGGGAGGCTGAGGCAGGAGAATGGCATGAACCCAGGAGGCGGAGCTTGCAGTGAGCTGACATCCGGCCACTGCACTTCAGCCTGGGCAACAGAGCGAGACTCCGTCTCAAAAAAAAAAAAAAAAGAGTGAGAGACTTATTTCTATAGCTGCTGGCAGTGTTGTCAGCAAATAACCATCAGATATCAGTGCTCTTCAGGAAGTGCCTGGGTTGAAGAGTCCTGGCTCACCCAAGGTCATGCCCTCTCCCAAGGCAGTTCATGCCTTATTACTGGTGGACATAAAGGCACAAAGGCCCAGCTCCGCTCACTCCAACTTGGGACAACCCTGAAGTGCCATTATAGCTTCAAAGCTCCTCAAGGAGATGGCTACTGCTTTTATTGAATCTGTATCTGTATCACAGTCAACTTCCTCACTTTGCCTAATCCTTCTTCCTTCCCTTTCCAAGATGTTGATCCCAAGAGCTCTCCTTAGTAAATTTCCTGCATGCACATATCTGAGTCTTCCTTCTACGGAAGCCAGTTTATGACAATAGGAGGTTGTCCTTATTCTTAGGGGATGTATACTAGGAGTGAAGTGTCATAACATGGGTAACTTATTTTCAAATTATTCAGGAAAATGTGTATGCATATATGTATAAAAAGGAGACAAAGAGATAAAGCAAGTATGGTAGCATCTTAACAACTGGTGAATCTGGATGATTCATATATGGATGTTTATTGTAGCATTCTTCTGCCTTTTCTGAGGATTTGACATTTACAAAATATCAAGGTGAAAACAAAATCCCTTTCCTCTATTTTTAATAGGTGTTTCAGTGGGAACAAAATTAGGCTTGTATATTCAATCTGTATCTTTACCTGGGATCTCTTCATTATTTTTAAACCTTCCTTTTGCTTTTCTAATACAATTATTGAAATCTGTACAGTCATACCTTGTTTTACTGCACTTTCCAGGTATTGTGTTTTCATAAATTGAAGAACTGTGGCAACTCTGCATAGAGCAACTCCACCATTTTTTTCTAACAACATGTCCTCACTTCATGTCTCTGTGTCACATTTTGGTAATTCTCACAATATTTCAAACTTTTTCATGATGATTTTATCTGTTATGGTGATTTGTGATCAGTAACCTCTGATGTTACTATTTTAATTGTTTTGGGGTATGAATGTGCCCATATGACAGTGAACTTGATCCATAAATATTGTATGTGTTCTGAATGCTCCACTTACTAGCCGTCCCCTTATCTCTCTACTTCTCCTTGGGCCTCCCTATTCCCTGAGACACAGAATATTGAAATTAGGCCAATTAATGACCCTACAATGGCTTCTATGTGTTCAAGTGAAAGGAAGTGTTGCACATATCTCATTTTAAATCAAAGGCTAGAAATGATCTCCACAAGCACAGGTAACTAAAGCAAAAATGGACAAATGGGATCACATTAAGTTAAAAGGCTTCTGCCCAGCAAAAGAAACAACAACATGAAGAGACAACCCAAAGAATGGGTGAAAACACTTGCAAACTATCCATATGACAAGGGATCAATAACCAAAATATATAAAGAGCTCAAACAACTCTATAGGAAAAAAATCCAATAATCCAATTTAAAAATGGGCAAAAGATCTGAATAGACATTTCTCAAAAGAGGACATACAAATGGCAAACAGGTGTGTGAAAAGGTTCTCAACATCATTGATCCTCAGAGAAATGCAAACCAAAACTACAATGAAACATCATCTCACCCCAGTTAAAATGGCATTTATCCAAAAGACAGACAATAACAAGTGCTGGTGAGGATGTGGAAAAATGAGAACCCTCATACACTGTTGGTGGGAATGTAAATTAGTACAATCACTATGGAGAACAATTTGGAGGTTCCTCAAAAAACTAAAAATAGAGCTACCATATGAGTCAGCAATCCCACTGCCAAGTATATACACAAAAGAATGGAAATCAGTATATTGAAGAGATATCTGCATTCCCATGTTTGTTGAAGCACTATTCACAATAGCCAAGATTTAGAAACAACCTAAGTGTCCATCAGCAGATGAATGGATAAAGAAAACGTGGTTGATATATACAATGGAGTACTATTCAGTCATAAAAATGAACGAGATCCTGTCATTTGCAATGACATAGATGGAACTGGCAGTCAGTACGTTAAGTGAAATAAGCCAGGAACAGAAAGACAAACTTGGCATGTTCTCACTTATTTGTGGGAGCTAAAAATTAAAACAATTGAACTCATGGAGATAGAGAGTCGAATGATGGTTACCAGAGGCTGGGAAGGGTAATTGGGAGAGGGATGGGGGAGTGAGGATGGTTAATGGGTCAAAAAAAAAAAAAAATAGAAAGAATGAGTAACACCTAATATTTGACAGCACAATAGGGTGACGAAAGTCAATAATAATTTAATTATACATTTAAAAGTAACTAAAAGAGTATAATTGGATTGTCTGCAACACAAAGGAAAAGTGCTTGAAGTGATGGATACCTGGTTTGCCCTGATGTGATTATTACACATTGTTTGCTGGTATCAAAATATCTTATGCAGCCCATACATATACACAACTACTATGTCTCCACAAAAATTAGAAATTAAAATTAAACAAAGAGAAGTGATTGAGCTTAGTGAGGGAGGCATGTTGAAAGCCAAGATAGGTCAAAAGCTAGACGTCTTGTGCCAGACAGCCAGGTGGTGAATGCAAGGAAAAACTTCTAGAAGGAAATTCAAAGTGCTACTTCAGAACACATGAATGATAAGAAAACAAAAGAGACTTATTGCTGATATAGAGAAAGTTTGAGTGGTCTGGATAGAAGATCAAACCAGCTGCAACATTCCCATAAACCAAAACTGAATCCAGAGCAAGCCCCTAACTCTCTTCAATTCTATGAAGACAGAGAGGTGAAGAAGCTGCAGAAGAGAATTTTGAAGATACCAGAGGTTGGTTTATGAGGGTTAAGGAAAGAAGGCAACTCTATAACATGAAAATGCAAGGTGAAGCAGCAAGTGCTGATGGAGAAGCTGCAGCAAGTTCTCCAGAAGATCTAGCTAAGATCATTGATGAAGGTGGCTACACCAAAAAACAGATCTTCAATGTAGGCGAAACACCCTTCTATTGGGAGATGATGCCATTAAGGACTTTTACAGATAGAAGTCAATGCTTGCCTTCAAAGCTTCAAATGATAGGCTGACTCTCTTGTTAGGAGCTAAGGTAGTTGGTGACTTTAAGTTGAAGCCAATGCATATTTCCCATTCCTCAAGTCTTAGAGTCCTTTAGAATTATGTTACATCCATTCGGCCTGTGCTCCATAAATATAACAACAAAGTCTGGATGACAGCACATCTGTTTATAGCAAGGTTTACTGATTATTTTAAGCCCACTGTTGAGAACTCTGCTCAGAATAAGAAGGATTCCTTTCAAAATATTACTGCTTATCGACAAAGCACCAGGTTACCCAGAAACACTGATGAAAATGTACAAGGTGACAAATGTTTCCATGCCTGCTAACACAACATCCATTCTGTAACCCATGGATCAAAGAGTAACTTTGACTTTCAAATCTTATTATGTAAGAAATACATTTTGTAAGGCTATTTCCAACTTCTTTGGATAACTTTGAGAGACTCAAGGCTTCAGTGGAGGAATTAACTGCAGATGTGATAGAAATAGCAAGAAAACTACAATTAGAAGTGGAACCTGAAGGTGTGCCTGAATTGCTGCAATCTCATGAGAAAACTTTAACGAGTGTGGAGTTAGTTCTTATGAATGCTCAAAGAAAGCAATTTATTGAGATGGCAACTATTTCTGGTGAAGAGTCTATGAACATCATTAAAGTGACAACAAAGGATTTAGAATATTACATACATTTAGTTGACAAAGCAACTGCAGAGTTTGAGAGGACTGACTCCAATTTTGAAAGTTCTACTGTGGGATAAATGCTATCAAACAGCATCACATGCTACAAAGAAAGCTTTCGTGAAAGGAAGAGTTGGTTGATGCAGCCAACTTTATTGTTGTTTTATTTTAAGAAATTGCCACAGCCACCCCAAACTTCAGCAAACTACCACTCGGATGAGTCAGTAGCTATCAACACTGAGGTTAACACCCTCTGCCAGCAAAAAGATTATGACTCACTGAAAGCTCAGATGATCATCAACATTTTTTAGCAACAAAGTATTTTAAAATTAAGGTATGTACATTTATAGACAGAATGCTATTGCACACTTAATAGATGACAGTATAGAGGAAACATAACTTTTATATGCACTGAGAAACCAAAAAATTCATATGACTCACTTTATTGCAATATTAGCTTTATGGTGGTGGTCTGATACTGAAGTTGCATTATCTCTGAGATATGTCTGTATATCTTGCTTTGAATTCTTCTTCTGTTATAGTTCATAGATTTTTTATTTTTTTGTGCCCTCATTGTTATTCATTAGAAATAATTTATAATTTCTACTTTAATTTTTCTTTTGAACCCAATAGATAGTTAAAAGAGTAGGTTTTGAATATTCATGTCTATAGGGGTTTTGTTGGTAATGAGGTTTTTGTTTGTTTGGTTATTCTTTGGCGATTTCTAGTTTTATTGCATTGTGGTCTGTGAACATATTTCTGCCATTTAGAATATAGTGAAATTTCCTC